CTGCCTGTCCTGCTGCCCACCTCGTTGCCCCGCGGAGCCCCCCAGGGTGGCATACTCACAGGCCCCGGCAGACACAGCTCCAGGAGCCCGTCCTGTACCACGTAGATGCTCGCGTCCGGCTGGCCAGGCCGGAAGACGTAGTCACCCTGGCAGAGCCGCTGGAAGACCATGTGACGGCACAGCTCCAGGAAGAGTGGCTTCTCAAAGTGGCCCAGCACCCTGGACAGGGAAGGCGGGGAAATGCAGATATGAGGAGGTCAGGTCAGCCCCAGCTAGGCAACAGCCCTGCCTGCACCCTGACACTGACCGGACGTTCTTGAGCATGTAGAGCACCTCGGAGGGCAGGTGGGAGTTGGCCAGGTCACCCTCGGTCAGGTCAGCCTCCAGCACAGCAGGCGGGGGTTCCTTCCGCTGCAGTGTGGGCGCCTCTTTCTGGATGCGCAGGATCCTGGTGGCAGGAGAGGGGGATGGGAGCAGTGGAGAGCAGGGAGGAGGCTCAAGCAGACCTCAGATCCTCCTGCCCCCACAGAGCCCCTCCTGGGGTCCTTAGAGCAGGGGTCAGCAAACTCTGGCCCACTGGCTGAATCAGGCCAGCCACCTCCTTTTGTCCATAAAGTTTCATTGGCACACAGCTACATTCATTCATTTACACATATCTGTGGCTGCTTTAATGATACAACAGCAGCATTGAGTCATTACATTACCGTTGTATACAGCCTGCAAAGCCTAAGATGTGGCCCGAAAAAGAAACTTGCTGACCCCTGATGTAAAACTCTGAGGTTGCCCTCCACTAGTCACAGGCTTCCTAGATGGAACCTCTCATTGGGCAGACTCCTGACACAGCTTCCAAGATATGAGCAGACCTCAGCAAAAGCATCTATGTTCATCATGGCACCCTAGAGATAGTCCATCAGCTGGCAATCGCAGACTAGACTCCTTGATACAGCCTCCCTCATGGAGGCAGACCCCTGGGGTAGCTTCCGTTATATCAGGAGACCCCAGATGCAGCCTCTCTGCTCTTTACAACCATCCCTGAGATGGCCCTTCCTCCTAAGCCTCAGACAGCCCTGAGAGAGCCCCTTGGATGGCCACAGAGGCTCTTGAGGTAGCCCTGGTTACAGACAGAGACTCCAGATACAGCTCCTCTGCTGATCATGGACCTCAGACAGCTCTTCCCTGAAAAGGCATAGTTATTACTGAGACAGTCCTTCCACTGGTCACAAGATACTCAAGATAGACCCTCTAGAATGAGCTCAAACTGAGTTAAACTCCACAGAACAGAGGAATTGAGCAATAGCTCCCCTTCTGATCAGGCAGATCCTTGGGCTAGCCCTTATCCAGATCACAGAGAACTGAGATAATCCTTTGAAGGTCATGGTGACATCAGGGTAGCTCCTCAAGGCTGTGCAATCAATGAGACTGCCCCCCAGGAGTTGGACAGACCCTCAGCTCATTGTGGAAGACCTCGAGACAGTCCTTCTGCTCAAGTCATAGAAAGCCATGGGATAGCACACCTACTGACTGTGGTCAGCCCGGGCATAGCACCTCAGTGTGAAGAAACACTTGAGACAGACCTTCACGTAGACCCTACATTGTCAGGAGACCCCACAGTCAGCTCTCAGCTTAGAACGATTTCTGGGAGAGCCTTGCTCAGAAACCCTGAGGTAGCCCTTTTATGACAACACGTCTGAGATGTTCTTCCTATCTCTAGTGTGAAAAGATTCTTGAGATGACTCCTAGGGAACAGAAATCCCTGACATAGTCTCCTTGTAGTAGAAGAACTGCAACGAAGGTGACATAGAGAGATGCTTTCTGATGTAGAGGGACTGCAGAGATAACCCCTGGGGAACAAAAGGTAGAGACAGCCCCTCCAGCAGGTCCCAGAAACACTCTGGAGTACCCTGGAATAAACCCTTTCATGTGGGGAGACTGGACCAGGGCAAGACATCCAAGATAGCATTGTTGTTGTCTAGTTGCTAAGTTATGTCCGACTCTTTGTGACCCCATGGATTGTAGCCTGCCAGGTTCATGGGATTTTCCAGGCAAGGATACTGGAGTAGGTTGCCATTTCCTTCTCCAGGGGATCTCCTAACCCAAGGATCAAATCCACATCTCCTGCATTGGCAGGTGGATTATTTACCACTGAGCCACCAGGGAAGCCAGAGATAGTAACTGGGAATTAAATAACTCACAGATACTTCTGTAGTAGAGAAACATGACTGAGAGAGCCCTCAAGGAATAGAAACAACCTGTCTGGTAGGGGAGAGCTCTGAAACAGTCCCACAGACGTGGAAAGACTCCTAAGACAGACAGTCCATGGGGTTCAAAGAAGCCCGAGATACACGCTTCGGTGTGGGCTGATCACTCAAAAAGCCCTGAACATAGCCCTGGGTACACCCAGCACAGCCTTACTTCTTGGCAATGTTGAGCATCTTAAGTTTCTTCTTCATGCGCGGGCGGGAAGTGGTGGAGACGGAGGCGTCCACTAAGGAAGAAGTGGATTGTGACACCTGGGAGAATTAAGGGGAGGGGGGGTGAGAGGAATGCATCAACTGCCAGTTCAGACCCAGAGAGGCGAGGGCAAATCCAGAGGCCCTTAATCAAGGAGGGCGGCGGGCTTACTAAGAAGTATAACTAGGAAAAGGGCAGGGCCTCTGTGTGGCCAAAAGGAGCCTCAGAGGGTCCCAGACTTACCTTCCGCATAATCTTCCGGCCATAGAAAAGCACTTTGTCTCTCTTCCGGAATCGGTAACGGGGGCCCTCCGGGGCTGGGGTTTCTGGGGATAACAAGGGCGGAGAGGGGCATTCTGAGCTAAACGCATACTCCGCCCGGCGAGAGATGGGGACGCTGCCTGCGGGCTCCAGCACATCCCACTTCTACTGACTCAGGGGCCCAGACATTTCACCTTCCCATCCCTCAACTGCCCCAGAAGGCCCTCCCGGTCCTCACTCGGCACTCGAAGCCTCCGCACCAGCAGCAGGATGAGCACGGCCGTGACCAGAACCGCGACTCCAGCGCCGATCATCATGCCCAGCACCTGCGGGACGAATGGCACAGGCTGCGCATCGCACACCGGGCCCGTCAAGCCTTCCCCGGGGGCCGGGACGCCCGGGACTCCATCCAACGGAGCCAAGTCCGCCCCGGAGATCACAGTCGGCTCGGCCCTCGATGTCCCCATCTGCAAAATGGGCCAGCGCGGCTCCCTCCCCCGGGGAGTCAACTCTTTCTGGAGGTTCGCCGGCCCGCAGTGCACGCCGGGAAGCGTAGTTCAGCCTGAACAAACGCAGCCTAGTTATCGCGGGACCGCGATGATGCGCGCTAAGCACGTCGGGAACTGTAGTCCCCGTGGCGGTGCACAACCCCCAACCCTTACCATTTCGGTTTGCAGCGGGGCGTCCATCTGTTTCTTCTGGCAGGGCTGCACGTCTGGCACTCCTGGGGAATGAGAAACCGGAGCAACCCGGGCAAGTCGTCACTCTGGGCCCGCTCCTCCCCTGCAGCAAGCCCTGCCCTCTTTTTAGCCTTACTGCCGGGAGGTTTCTCTGCCGGCTTGGGCACGGCTGGAGGGGTGCTGCGGAGCAGAGGGGTGGGGCAATTTGAGTTCGGAGCCCGAGCTAGGGAGTGAGGTGGGTCCCCGGGTCCCCACCAGGGTCTCCTTACTTACTCACCAGACCCGCCTGACGCTCCACTTGTCCAGCCACACCCTGGGGCTAAAGGGCAGCCGGTCGGACACCTACTATCAGCAGCCAGAAAACAGGTTCCCCAAGGGGCACGGTTTTCTCCAGCAGGTGGCCCTCTCTGCAGGATCAATCCTGACCCGATCCCTAGGCCGCACCCCTGCACCCTATGCGAACACTGGATGCCGCACCCCAGGGAAACCGGGCCCGAGTCATGGGGCTGGGGAGATGCCTGGCTCCCCCCGGAATGCTGCCAGGAGCGCCTTCACAAGGATTCGTGATGCAATGCCGAGGTCTCAGTAGCATCCTGGGATGCTCGGAGTGGGGTGGGCTCGCAAAGTTTTACTGGTTGATGCTGGAGATTTACTGTCACGTAATAGTAAAGTTTAGGGGTTTTCTGATGGTGCGGAGCATCCCTGGGAATCGGGGAACGAGGCTGGGACCATTGCTGGGAGACATAACCAGGGACGCTGGAGTTACTAGGGGTCAATAAAAAGTTATCGAGAGATTGCGAGGCATATAAGACTATCACTGGGAAAATCGGGAACTGGTTGGGTACATCCCTGGAGTCGTTGGAGCGTGATACTGAAGAATGCTGGAATATCACTGAGACTTTTCTGGGAAGCTGAGACTGTTTTGGCAACCTCAGAGTACTAATGGAAATTTGGGGGAGTCACTGTGCCCTTGAAACCGTACCTGGAAAATTCGCAGGGGATTGGTCTCCTCCCACCCGAGGATGCACCTGGCTACCGGTGCGAAAACACCTGCTGGGAGCTGGGGGAGCGGGGTAAGAGTCAGGAAGTCGAGAGCTACCGAGAGTCGACGGAAGACAGATCTTAGGAAAGCCAAGGGCTCGCTAACAACCCGCGAAGGGATGTCCCTGCGGGTGCCAAAGAAACCCGGACTCACCCAGGAGCCGCAGCTGGGGTCCACCCTGCGCCAACTCCGTTAGCGTTCCGCCCGGCGCCTCAGGCGCGGCCCCTTTAAATTATTCATGGTAGGGCGCACCGCAGCCCCGCCGCCCCCCCCTCCCCCGCCCCGCGCCACGCTTAGAAGGTCGCGCGGAGTGTGGCGACGCTTTAAAGGGACCCGCGACCAGTTGGCGCAGGGGATTCCCCTCCCACTACAAATGAGAACAAGTTTATTTTCCCGTTTATTTAACACCCACTCTATCCTTGTCCAACGTCCGACCCGACTGACCCAGGCCCTCACGGGGCCCGACTGGCAGCCGGCCCTTAAAAGCAAAGGGTAAAAATAAATAAGCTTGGGTCTCTGCACTCCGGGGAGTGGTGGTTAATGTCCAGTAGCAGTCCGGGTCCGAGTCAATTCACCAGCAGCGAATGCTCCTCCGAAGGGTCCCTGAAGGAGGGACAGTGTTAGCGGAGGTGGAAAGCATCGGTTCCCTCCGTCCTCTTCCCTTCCACCAGCCAATCCCAAACCCGAGCCAAAGCAGCCTCGAACCTGCCACAGCAGCAAAGGAGGCTGCAGGCGGAGCCGCTCCCGCGGCGGAATTTGCCGGAGGTGGGGCTGTCCTGGCACTGCGCGATGTAGGCCTGGAGCTCGCTCACCTCTGCGCCCGCTCCGCCTGGGTGCTGGGGAGAGAGACCCGGGGCCCGCATGAAAGACACCCCTACCCTCCCCCTCCTCTCCAACCATCTGAATCTCCTCCTTGATCCTGGTGGACCAACCAGGCTCCCTCCTCTGGGGTTTTGCACATGCTGTGCCCTCCACCCGCTGGTTCCCCGTGCTTTGCTTCACCTGGAGACATTCCCTGACCACTGAATGTGCCCTCTCCACCTGTGGGTCCACCACCTAGAGCCATGCTGGACCCAATCTGGATGCTTGGCAACCACCTACTGACTTGGGTGCACACAGCAGAAGCAAGGTCTGGGTTTGTACCCCCAAGGCTGACACACACGTGTGATCTTAATGTGCTAGAGGAAGACCGATGAGGGGTCCTTGGGTCTGAGTGACAGAAGTATGTCTGTCGCCTGGCTGTATGTCCAGGCACAGGCCAGTGCAGTCTTCTGCATTCCCAGTTGCACGAAGTTCTGGCTTTCAGGCTCTTTTTTGCCCTTCCCAACCTCATGGGACCATTCTCTTCTCCAAATCCTTTCTGGCAGTTCCTTCTCCCTGGTGTGCTCTCTCCTGGGCTCTTGTCTCATCAATCCAGAATGTTCTGAGATGATGGAAAGGTTTGAGATCTGTGCTGTCTAAATCTGGGAGCTACTAACCACACTGGCATTTGGGTGCTTGCTCTATGCCTGGTGTGAGTGAGGAACTGAATTTCGAATTGTTTCATTTTCATGAAAGTCAAAGTGTAACTAGTCACGTGTGTGGCCAGAGACCAGACAGCACATTTGAGAAATTTGCCTGGACTCAGCCCAACACCAGTCTAAAGCAAGGGACCTCTGTAACCTTCAGTACTTCCTTTTTATACCACCTCCCATCAGTAGATCGCCATACTCTGGTTTGTCCATTATCCATCCTGCCCACCAGTGCTGGACAGACACCTGGCACCAGGCTTGGCACACAACAGGCCCCCAAACGTATCTGCTGAAAGAGCCTGTCTACCTGTCACGCCCACATTCTGCTCTGGGCCCTGCAGCCTGCAGGACCACCACCATTCCCCAGACCCACAGGACAGAGGGGTTGGGAGCAGCACTTCTGGAATCACACAAGTTTCAGGATGAGCCGGGTTCACCATCTGCCTAGTAGCCAACCTTGGGTGGGTCACTGAAACTCTATGGCTTGGTTTGGGTGTGTTCAGTCACTCAGTCGTGTCCGACTCTTTGCAATCCCAGGGACTGTAGCCCACCAGGCTTCTCTATCCAAGGGATTTTCCAGGCAAGAATGCTGGAGTGGGCTGCCATTTCCTACTCCAATGGCTTGGCTTCCCTGTTGGTAAAAGATGCAGGAATCGTACCTGGCCCCACACCTTGATAAAAGCTGAGAATGCAGCAGCTGTGACGAGGATGGTATCGGCCCCCTGTGGACCCCGCAATTCCGAGCTAACCTCTCCTTTGGCCTCGTGGAGTCTCCCATATTCTTTCCCAGGGTCCTTCTCACCTCACCCGGCTGTGGCCAACCTCGAGGGACTCAGAGCCCGAGCTTGGGGCTGTGCGCTAATGCGTGTGCGGTGGCCCCCAGGGAGGTGGCTGACCTTGATGGTGTCATAGGCGCCTGTGATGAGCGCGATGAAGAGGCTGAGCACCATGTAGATGAACAGGCTGATGAAGGAGTACAGGTAGAGCTGAGAGAAGAGCCACACCAGGCTGCTGCGGCTCTGCTGCGCCTGCATGGCCGCGAAGGTCACGAACATGTCATCCCCGTTGATAAGCGAGAACAGGCACTCAGACACCATGGACAGTGAGCGGAACTGCGGGCAGGCAGCGCAGTAGCGGGGTCAGAGCATGGCTGGGGGCATGGCTGGGGGCTGGGATGGGGCTGGTAGTGGCATTGGAGAGTCAGAGGGGACAGCAGACCAAGCACTAGTAGTCATGGTGAGGCCAAGTGGGGGGGATGGGTCACTGAATAAGGGTCAAGGCCAGGGTCACTGGGATGGGGTTCAGAGAGGACAGTGGATAGAATTGCTGGCGACTTGCTAGTAAGGTACCAGGGATCATGGTGGGTTGTTCGGTGTCACCAGATCAACAGCAGGTGGACCCGCTGGTGTCAGAGGACTCAGGAAGTAAGAAGGGGAGCCAGGGACCCCTGGATGGTGGGTCATGAGCATCACCCACAGGTCCCTGCCAGCCCCTACCTTCACGTGGTAGGGCCCCAACACGATCCAGCCGCAGAAGCAGTAGCCCAGATAGATGACGGCCACACAGCAGCAGAAGCGCATGACGCTGGGCAGGGCCACCCGCAGCGTGGCAATGAGGATCTGTGGGGGGGGCGGGGGGGACAGCAGTGTAGGCGGACCCACAATACAGGCCAGCAAGGGTGACCACAGAAGCTGGAGGGAGCCTCAGAGGGGCAGCACAGTGCTGAGGGCACACCCCCTTGGCTGGATTCAGTTGGCAGGGGGTTAGGGATGAAAGTGGGCTCACATAGCCCCTGCCCATGTCGAGTGACAGGTATGTCTGGCGGGCCTGGGGGACAGGTATGGGGAAGAGGCTCCCGGTGGGTCACCTGCAGGGGCTGTTAACGGAAATATGGGTATGATTTATCTGGTGGGGGGGGAATTAAGGGACATGTGGCCTCCACCAAGAGGACCCTGCCTGTATGTCCAAAGCTTACATTGTACTTATGGAAGAAGGTCAAGTAGCGGATGACTCCAACCCAGACTAGCAGAGTAGAGGTGCCCAGGAGGATGCTGCAGACGTCGTAGCTTGCCAGGTTCTAGGGGTGGGAGTAGCGTCAACTCCATCCGGCCCTTCCCTGGGGATGGCATCGGCAGGGAGTGGGAGAGGGGGCCAGGGTCTGGAAGGAGATGGGGTGGGGAGGCAGGGCGTGGGCAGGGCCCACCTTGGCTTCGATGCCAATCTTCATGATGGTGCCCGAGATGGTGAGCATGTCGCTGGTGACCAGCAGGATGTACCAGCCATTGACAAATTCCAACCGCTCCCACAGGCTGATGACCTGTCCCCGCCGTCGCCACATGAACCTGACAAATTCCTGCAGGGGTAGGCGGGTGGGGTGAGGGCCGGTCTGGGCAGGGGAGGTTGACCACCCTGGCGGCCCCAAGGGTTCCAGAGCTGGGTGAGGCTGGGGGTGGTTCTCACATTCTGCAGGAGGAAGCCTCGGAGCAGTGAGCGGGCACACAGCAGGAAGGAGAAGGCACAGGTGAGGATCACAACCACGTCAAACAGGAGCCGGAAGCTGTTGTCTCCTGTGGGGAGGGGGCCAAAGCCAGGACCGGCGATGAGGCGACTGGGCCAGGCCCGGGGGGCTTCAGGGCTGGTTTGGGCTGGTCAGTGGGCTCATAGGTTTCTCTGGGTGAGTTGGGAGCTTGGTCCATGCTGGTCTGGGGCTCGGGGCTCCCACGGAAATGCAGAGCCCCTGGGCAGCACTGGTTTGGGGATTGGGAGCTCACCATGGCCAAAGACGCTGGGGTGCTTACACTCCTGGATGTGGGCCTGGGTCTCTAGGCTGATGGGGACACGCCCACTGTGTGCCTTATTGTCAAATGTGATCTGCAGGGGTGCAGTGAGATGAGATGGGACAGGGTAAACCTTGGCAGACCTAAGGATCCCAGACCTGCAGGACGGATGGTCTCTCCAGCCCCAGCCTCCCCTATCACCCCCACACTGCCCCTGGCCCAGGGTCCCCCAGCTCCAGAGTTCAGGAGTCCTGTGCCCCGCCCCCACCCTACCCCATCACGGGCTGGTTCCTCATCCACACCCCAGGGACCGTGGGCTCACCAGGATACTGAAGGTGTAGCAGTCTGGGATTTCATTGTTGATCAGGCTCTGGAGGTTAATGGTCTTCAGCTGGAAGTGGATGGTGACGTTGATCAGCCTGGGGGGGAGGCTTGGGTGAGGGGGTGGGTGGGCTCTGCCTGAGTGCCAGTGCTCTGCCCCACGCTGACTCTGCAGCTGGCAGAGGAAGTGCTCATGTGGCAGCATCGGCTTGGCCCGCCCAGCCCCGGCTTGTGGGGAAGTGGCTGCCCCCTCCCCCAACACTGAAGATGCCTGGAGTCTTGCCTCCCCGCACCCCCAGCCCCCTCGATCGGTCAGACAGTACTTGTGGAATTTGAGCGTGAGGTTCCTGTAACTGGCGCTGCCATCCGAGAGGGAGAGATCATCACTGGGGGGGACGGGGGGTCTCTCAGGGGGGTCCACCCGGATACAGTCTGAGGACAGGGAGTCAGGGAGGGGACACTGGTGGCAGGGGAGGCACAGGCAGATCTCCCCAGAGTCCCCGACATCCCCCTTCCATGCTTTACCTCCCCCTTCATATTTCAACATTTGTTTGTTTCTGCTGTCTACCCCACAAGGGTCAGGCCCAGTCTATCTAACCCCGTACACAGGCCGCAGTGCCTGGCGCTCTGTGGCCCCAGATGTTTAGTGAATGAATGACACTGAAACATAACATGCAGCTCTGTCTGCACACCAAGCAGCCTACTAATCATGACATCATCCTCACCACCCTGACTTCCAGACGAGCAGGAAGGATTTTCGAGTGGGATTTTAATCCTAGCAGCCCGGACTCCTGACCACTGAGCCCTGCCCAGCCCACTCACCCGTGACGACCATTGGATCAATGTCAAATGTGTCGTTGGCTGGGTCCACGTGTCCCCGGTGGTAGTAGCACTGGCAGAGGGCCAGGGCTGAGCCGTTGGCCCAGGGGCCGCCCCCGCCCCGCACATAGGCATACCGGCCCAGGGACACGTCTGGGAGCATCAGGTACTGCGGGCAAAGGAGGGGAGGGTCTGTCAGCCCTGCCCACTCTCCCTTGAGGGCCCAGCTGCCCACTGGCTCCTGGCCACCCGCACCTGGTCCACAGCATAGAAGATGGCCTGGTATAGCTGTTCCCGCGTGTAGGCTGCGAACGTGTCATCTGCCCCATCCGTGTAGCCCAGTAGGAAGAGGTGCCGGAAAGCAATGGTGTTCTCCTCCCGGAATGTCACCGCCAGCTGGTTGCTGAGCCCAAACAGGATGAGCTGGCAGGAGGGACGAGGATGATGGAATCTCCCACAGTGCACGAGTGGAGGGAGAGAAGAGAGAGGGCCCTCCCCATGAGGGCAGGCCCACCATACGCCCACAGTGGCTGCTTATAGAACTCGCAGCAACAGCGAACGTCCATTCCATGTGTACTGGGTGCCAGCTGCTGTGCTAAACACAAACCTATGGGGAGAGTTGTGCTGCAGTCCATGGGGTCACAGAGTCAGACACAACTGAGCGACTGAACTGAACTGCACAGGCTAAGTACCACTATTGGGTTCCTTTGGTTGTTCTTCAGTCAGTCAGTCGTGTCTGACTCTTTTTGATCCCATGGACTATAGCCTACCAGGCTCCTCTGTCCATGGGATTTCACTGTCAAGAATACTGGAGTGGGTTGCCATTTCCTCCTCCAGAGGCTCTTCCCGACCCAGGGATTAAACCTGCATCTCCTGCATTGGCAGGTAGGTTCTTTACCACTGAGTCACCTGGGAAGCCCCTCACTGGGCTCCTTTAGTGACAGAAATCAGAAGCATGGTGACATACCTAAAGTCAATAGACCAGAAGCTCTCAGGACAGGGGCTGAGTCTGACTCATCATGGAGTCCTTGGAGCCCAGCACAGGGCCTGGGAGAGGGAGGGAGTGAGGGCAGTGATCTCTGACGCCACCAGGTCAGTTTTCTTTGAGGGTCAGCACAGCACCAGACTGCCAGGGTCCACATGCCAGCTCCCAAGGCTTAGTTGCTATGTGACTTTGGACAAGTCCCTTAACCTCTCTGAGCCTCATTTGTCTCATCTATTAAAAAAAAGGGTGACAACACTGGCCAGGACCTTAGAGGGTATTTGTGAAGCTTAAAGGAGCTGTTCCCGTGCAGATCCCAGAGGGCTCCTGACTGATGACTGCCACTATCACTATCATGATGCTGCAGTGTGGGCAGGACTAGGCTCTGACTCCAAGATTCCCCTTCAAGGAAAATGGGGCCCATGGGTGGAATTCTGGGGGCTGGGGGGAGTGGTACAGGTCTCACCTGCACGGTGACCACCAAGATCTTCACCACCTGCAGCATAAGCTTGAAAGGTTTGCGACCCTTGGCCCGGAATTTATCACAGGGGCTCATGAAGAAGTACTTGAGACGGCGACGGAGATCTTCCTCTTCTGGAGGGGTTGAAGGGGCTGGGGAAGTCCCTGTTTGGGTCCCATATCCAGGGCTGGGTGTCAGGAGCCGCTCGGTCTCTGTGAGATGGGAGGGAGGGGGAAGTGGGGACCAGGCCATGACAAGTTTACCTGCCAATAGGGGAGGCAGGTCCCAAGCTCCAGCTAAGAAAACTCTGAGAGATCTAAGGAAAACCAGAAAATTTGTAACATTCTACAGACATTTGCAGCAGTGCTAGTCAAAGACTATAAGTCACTTGAAAGAGCCTGAACTGATTCCTGGCCCTGCCTCGGGACACTCAGCTTCCCTGAGTCTCAGTTTCCTCGACTGCAAAATGGGACAATAAAAAAAATGGGGCCATAAATTCTTTCACTATGAAGCTAAGGATTTGATACTTACAAAGCATTCCATCCCTAGGCCTCAATAGTTCCTCAACAAGTAGAGGCTATTCTATTTTTTTTGTTTGCTTTTCCCCCCTTCTTTGTGGCCACGCCTAGGGGCTTGCAGGATCTTAGTTTCCACACCATGGACTGAACTCAGGCCACAGGAATGAAAGTACCAAGTCCTAACCACTAGAGCACCAGGGAACTCCTAAATAGAGGCTATTCTAAGCACCACTGATTCCTTTCAATCCTGACCAGCCGAAGAGGAAGTCCAAGTTTTCAGCAACTGCCGGGGTCATAGCTGGTCACAGCAGCCTAGAATAGTCCCTGACATACCCCCATGATCCCCACTGGAAGACCCCTGCTTCATTCCAAGGCCTGGCTGGCTCTCTGCCTAGCCCAGCCGCCAAGATGAAATGTGGACTCTCAGAACCTGTCCCACAGGGAGGGCCACCTCCAGATCCCTTTGGCAGTCAGATGCTGTTGTGGTTGTTTACAAGACAGCTGGATGGGAAGCCAGAGGGTGGGGCACCTCCCTGGCTGGGATCACAGCTAATCCACCCCAGGCTCCAATGACTAGGACATCTCTGAGGTGTCTGCAGCTAGTTTAAGAGGGGATGATCAACACATGGGCATTCCTCCAGGCTCCCCTGTGAGAGGCAACTGAGCTTCCAGGGGTTTGGAGATCTGAAATTGAGTTAGGCGCCTGGGTTTAAGGTGGCAACTCCGCCCCAGAAGTCCTGCCTGAGTTTAGAAAAGATGAGCATTTGCCTCCTGGCCCGGGGAAGCAGAGTCTGGAAGTCTGACGTTGGGGCAGGAGGGTGGGGGTGGGGGTCGGAGAAGCTGGGGCCCGCGGTCAGAGTTTCAGCAGAACTAAGCAATCCGAATCTAGGCTCGGGATGCAAATCCTGGGACCTTCGCCGCCGCGAGTCGGAGAAGCTGGCGCTTCGCCAGCTGCCTGAGTTGAAGGTACTCAGAACACAGCCCGGAGTCCCGCCATTTAGAGGGGAGAAGCTGGTGCCCACCCGCCACATGTGGGCAGCCTGCCCTTTCTGCCCTTTCTCCTAGGCTCTAGGAGCCGTCAGTCCATACCGACGCCACTAGGAAGCTGAAAGATGGGCATGGGAGCTGAGGAAAGGGAAACCCGGAGCTCCGCCGTCCCAGGTAGGAGAAGCCGTCCGCAGGTTCGCAGCCCGCGTTCCGGAACTCGCCGGGCTGCCAGCGCCCTCACCTGAGCCGCGCGGGCCTACGGGGACTGCCATGTCGGGCCCGGAGCGCCGGACGCCGCCGGGCGCTGCGGGGCAGCCGGGGTCCGAGAGCCCCGCGCTGTCACTGCGGCCTCGCTCCCTGGCGGTGCAGCTTCAAACCCTCCCGCATCAGCTGACTCGCGCCTCAGTCACGTGACCACCGAGGCCTGGGAGGCAGGCGACCAAATCCGGTCCCGCCCCCTGCGCCACGACAACCTCTGCCCGAGCAGCACGCAGGCGTGCCTCGGATGGCGGCTGACTTCCTCTCGGCGGTCGCGAGGTCCTATCGCCGATGGTGCTAGTGTGCTGGGGGATGGGCCGGCTGTGAGCGTGCGGACTTAGGACTGACTCGGTCCCGGCTCCCTGTCGTTCCGGCGTCCAGTGCCAATCTCTTGGCTTCCGTGTCGAATGCTTGACCCCTTTTCCTCCGCGGTGTAGGATAATGATCCTGTCTCAAGGGTGCCCGGCCCCATCGTCCCAGAAACCCTTACTCTCAACCCCCTCTTATCTGAACTATCATTAATCCTACTTCTTTTCCTAATTGTATCCTAAGATAGGACCACTTTCCTCCATCCAATGGCTGTCAGCCCAGAGTCTCCCAACATTCCTGGCTTGGACCACTGCAACAAACTCCCTGATCTTAGACTCCTATTTCTGATTCCCCTCCATTCCCCTGTCCATCCAGCCACCAGAAGGGTCTTCCAAAAATAAATGATATCAGTCCTCTGTCAGAACCTGCTGGTAGCTTCCCATTTCTCTGGGATGACAAGCAAACTCCCCCTCTTCAATCTACTGGAGCCCTCTTTTCCAACCCCACCTACCTCCTCCCTTGTCACATCTCAGTGGCCCCAGGGCCTTAGTACAATCTTGCCTTAGAGCATAGGGTTGATAATGCAGGCTCCAAGGCAGGCAATTTGGGTTTAAATCTAGACACTCCCAGCCACCACTTCTGGGTCTTTAAAAAACTCCCTTAAGGCTCCATGTGCCTCAGTGTCCTCGTTTGCAAAAGGGGAATACTCAGTTATCTGTCTCATGGAGCTGCTGAGAGAATTAAATGAGAGGGCTTCCTTGATGGTCCAGTAATTAAGAATCTGCTTACCAGTGCAAGGAACACAGATTCTATCTTGATCTGGGAAGATCCCACATGGCGTGGAGCAACTAAGTCTGTGCTCCACAACTACTAAGCCAGTGCTTTAGAGCCTGTGATTCGAAACTACTGAAGCCTGTCTCCCTAGAGCCTGTGCTCCATAAGAGAAACTAAGACAATGACAAGCCCATGCACCACAACAAAGTGTAACCCCTGCTCACTGCAACTAGAGAAAAGCCCATGCACAGCAATGAAGACCCAGCATGGCCAAAAGATAAATAAATAAAATTATTTTTTAAAAAGAATTAAGTGAGAAAATGCAAATGCATAGCACAAGTCTGGACCAACAGTAGTGCTGATTAAAGTAGCAGTGATTGGACTTATAATCACTTCCTTCCACAGGGAAGCTGTCCCTTATTTAAATCAAAGTCTTGTTATGCTTCTTGAATGCACCATACTCTATAGTTGCTTTTTAAGTGTTTCTGAACTCCGGGAGCTCTGTGAGAACCAAGGCTGTGCTAATCTTGCTCCCTGCTGAGACATGAGCAATCAACACACATTTTTTGAATAAATAAGCGAGTGACCGCTCCTTTGTCCTGTGGTGTCCCTGCAACGTGGGTTTTGAAAGATAAGGGGTAAATCTGGGGAGCAGAAAGGGCAGGCTGCCCACATGGTTTCATATCAGCCTCTGCTATGCACCTGCTAGACGTTCAATGTGCCAGAAATCCCACCACGTGTGGGAAAGTTAACTCTAAAAGGGGAGGAAGCAGCATAGACCAAACCGCAGGGTGAGTCCCCCCCTGACTGGGGTGACTAGGTCTCGGGGAACAGAGAGTGGTGACTGCTGGGATGGACCACTATGAGACCTCCTGGGGGAAGCTGGGAGGCCAGGAGGATATTGTGGGGGGAGCCAGGACACTAAGGTTCCATTTGTGTGGCTCGCTCCGGCAGTGCCCTCCCATCTCCCCAGGAGCAGGCTGCACATTAGAAGAAAAGAGCAAGAGCAGAACGACGACGCAGAGCCAGGAGGCAGTGGGAGGATTTTACTAACTGCACAACACACGCTTTCCCAGGCCCCTGTGGGTGCCAGCACACCCTTCAGCCATCAGGCCCGAGCAGGGCTTCTTGTTCCTGCACCCACCTGGGACTCTCGCCCGTAGGGAGGGCTGGGCTGACAGTGTCACGGATGGGAGAGCCGGGGTCAGGGTGGGACTTGGAGCTGGGGTCAGGGCTGGGCACAGGATCTGTGTTGGGGCTGAGGCCAGATCTGTGGTCAGGGCTAGCCAGGAGGTCGGAATTGGCATTGCGCCCAGGCTTAGGATCAGAAGACAGGACAGAATCAGGGATGGGGCTAGATGCAAAGCCACTGGTGGGTTTGGGGTTGGGATTGGGGAGGGAGCCCAGTGCAGAGCCAGGGTCGGGGTCAAGGCCAGAGCTAGGGCCAGGGCTGAGCACTGAGACAGCATCCGGACCCAGGAGGGAGGCCTGCCCTGGCCTTAGCATCGAAGTGGGGCTGAGGCCCAGGCCGGCAGCGGCAGCGGCGGCAGCCGCACCCTCGTGCACGCGCTTGTGCTTGGTGAGGCTGGAGGCTTGGCCGAAGGCCTTGCCGCAGAGCTGGCAGCGGTAGGGGCGCTCGCCCGAATGCACATGTAGGTGCTGCAGCAACGCGGAGCTCTGCCCAAAGGCCTTGGAGCAGTGGGGGCAGGCGTAGGGCCGCTCGCCCGTGTGCGTGCGCAGGTGGTGCTGCAGGTTGGAGCTCTGGCCAAAGGCCTTGCCGCAGTGGGGACAGCGGTAGGGGCGCTCGGCCGTGTGCGTGCGCTGGTGCTGCAGCAGCGCCGAGCTCTGCCCGAAGGCCTTGCCGCATTGCGGGCATGGGTACGGCCTCTCGCCCGTGTGCGTGCGCAGGTGCTTCAGCAGCGCCGAGCCCTGCCCGAAGCCCTTGGCGCACACCGGGCACTTGTGCGGCCGCGGGCCGCCGTGCGTGCGCAGGTGCTGCGCCAGCAGTGAGCCGTGGCCAAAGGCTTTGCCACACACCGGGCAATGGTGAGGCTTCTCGCCACTGTGGCTGCTGCGGTGCTTGAGCAGTGTGGAGCGCCAACCGAAGGCCTTGCCGCACGCGGCGCACTGGTAGGGCCGCGCGCCAGTGTGGATGCCCCGGTGCTGCGCCAGCGTGGCGCCGTGGCTGAATGACTTGCCGCAGTCGGGGCAGCGGTAGGGCTTCTCACCGCTGTGCGTGCGGCGGTGCTGGCTCAGCCCCGAGCTGCGGCGGAAGGCTCGCCCGCAGTCAGGGCAGGAGAAGGGCCGGGGTGGGCTGGCAGGCGCAGGGAGCACCGCCGGGGCGGCGGTCAGGACCTCAGGGGTGGCAGGGAGGTCGGAGGAGAGGGAGTCCAGGTCTGGGGCAGCAGCGGGACTGAGAGTGTCGCTGTTAGGGTCGAGGATCAGGGGAACGGGGCCGATGACGTCGGGGTCGTCGAAACTTGAAGACAGGGGGTCGAGATCTTGGGGGTCGGAGTCACGGATCCCCGAGATGGAGCCTGGAGCATCCACCTCAGCATCCAGAGCCTCGGAGACAGGCTCCAGATCTTCATAGCTGGGGTCCACGTCCTCAGAGACAGTGTGGAGGTCTTCCGGCTCAGGCTCCAGGTTTTCAGAAGCCGGGTCCAGCTCTTCTGGGTCGGGGTCTAGGTCTTCTGAGTCTGAGTCAAGCTCTTCATAATCAGGCCTCCTGCCTTTGTGGCCTGGGTTCCTGACTAAGACGGAACGCCTCATCCCTGGTGTGGAAGTACCGGCTTCTGGGGCAGGATCTATGGGGTGAGGGCAGAGGATGAGTGGAGAGTAGGTTCTGGGGAACCGGGGGTCTCTTTTAGAGCCTAGGAAGGGAGAGGGAGTCAGGCTGTACCCCAGATCCATCTTTGGGGTACACACACAGATCCTTCTCTTGTCTCGTGCTATAGGGAGACTGCATTGGCTCCTGCCAGGGCAGGGAAAAGAGGGGCCCTGGTGGGACATGGGGAGGGGCCTCCCTTCTCAGCCCCACACCTGGATAAAAGTCAGGGGACCCAGCACTAGAGGTCTCCAGCACCCAGCTCCATGGCTCCGCCCCTCTCTCCATCCTGGGCTCCTCCTCTGGTGGGAAGCTCAGGTCCTGTGGAGGAGAGCGAGTCCCCTTGACCATGGCCCCTTCGAGGGGAAGAGGGTGGATGTGCTTACTGTAAGTACATGGCCTGAATTCCAGTCCCATTGTTGGGGGTGGCATATTTGGGGCCTCCTGGTAGGGAACTTGGCTTACCTCCTAGAGAGGAAACATTATGATCTCTGAAGCCTCTATCTGTGGGAGGATGAGTGTGTGTGTGTGGAGGGGGAGTGGGCAGACAACATCTGGTATTCCTCCTGGGTCACTGGGGGCATGCAGGGAGACCCCTGGCTTGCTTCCTGGGCAAGAGACAACTGAATTCCAAACTTCACAGTTCTGGGGTAGGACTAAGTGTCAAAACACCTATGTTCTGTCTTAGATAGAAAATCCTGAATGCCGATTTCTAAAGTTAGAGTGTGCATGGGGACCCCTGGAGAGGGCAGGGAGACCCATGGACCCATTATCCAGGAGAGTAGGGACAGGTGTCAGTATACCTGTTTGCCCGATTGGATAGATCCTGAATTCTAACCCCTAGCTTGTTAGTCGCTTAGTCCAGTCCAACTGTTTGGTATCTCATGGATTGTAACCCACCAGGCTTCTCTGTCCAAGGAATTATCCTAGGCAAGAATTCTGGAGTGGGTAGCCAACTCCCTTCTCCAGCGGATCTTCCCCACCCAGGGATCAAACAAGGGTCTCCTGCATTGCAGGCAGATTCTTTACCATCTGAGCCACCAGAAAACCGCTAGCTGCAGGGTAGGCAAAATAACACCTGGGGCTTCTCCTGGGTTAATGGGGGGACCCCTGGGCCATCTCCTCGGAAGGAATGATTTCTTGAGTGACTGACTCCATGACTGAAGCATGGAGCTGGTCCTCTCTGGGAAGGAAGATCCTGAATTCTACCTCCATGACTGGAGGTAGGGAGTGGGACAGAGAAACAAGCTGGGACCCCTTCTGGGGAGCAGGGGGAGCTCAGGATTATCTGAAGGGGAGGTGATGCCCACCCCATGGCTAGGCCTTGGGGGTGGGGTACAAATAGATCTATTATTGGGAGGGAGGTTGAGGTGGGGGTGGGTGGGTATGTATTAGGGGGCACTTTGGCTCTCCTTTGGGGGAGGGTGACCTTCTGAGCCACAACCCCAGAACTGGGAGTGGATACACACACAGAGAGCCCTGAGTTCCTAGATCACCTCCTCATATTCCATGATGGAGAGTAGGGGGACAGTGCTGGGTCACCCCTGGATACCCAGAAGGGGGAAGACCCTTAGTTTGGCTCCTGAATTCCCACCTCTGAGCTACAAGCAGCAAGGAGACATAACTGGGGTCCTTCCCTGAGTTCCTGGGGGGCTGGTGGAATCCTGGATCACCTTCTGAGGAAGGGGCTTCCAGTGCTCTGGACCCCAAGACTGGAGAGTGAGGGGAAACAACAACTGGGGTCCTGGGGGAAGTCCCTCTGGAGGATGGGTCTCCTGAACTCCGGACCCCAGGCAGGAGGGTCTGAGGGAACAATACCTGGGGTCACTCCTGGGCTCCTGGGGTGGGGGATCCGGATCGCCTCCAGGGGAGGGGGCGTTCTGGACTTAACGCCCCCGCACCCAGCCGAGGGGTGACCCCCCTCCCCTACCTCCCGATTGACGGCGCCCAGCTTGGGCTGGGCCCTCCCCCGGGGCTGCAGCGGCGGAACCTGTGCGCTAGGCCCGCAAGTCGCGCGGCCCCCTCCCATCGCGCCCCAGGCTCTGCTCTCCCCGGGCGGGCGGGCGCGCGGGGCGGCGGTGGGGGGTGGGACAGAGGTTGCCCCGGGCCGCGCCCGGCGCTGGGGGCCCCACGCGCCCGCCCCCCTCATCGCGGCCCCCTCCCGCCCGACCCGCTCGCGGGGACACTCACCCGGCGCCCCTCTCCCCTGCCCGGCCCGCCGCGCCCGCTGGCGCCCCCGGGGCCCGCAGGAAGCCCCCCGCCCGCCAGCCCCGCCGGCGGCCCCCTCGGCCCTGCGGCCCCGCCAGGCGCTCCCGGGGAGCGAGAGGGGCTGGCCGAGGGCCGCAGCGGGGGCTGCTGGGACTTGTAGTTCGCCCTCGCCCGCCTCGGCCGTCGCCATCGCTGCCCCCGCCCCCCGGGCCAGCTTTTGTCCCGGCCCGGCCACCCGGCCGCGCGGCCGCGCCTTTGTCTGCGCCGGCCCCGCCCGCGCTGTCCCCGCCGCCGCCTCTCCTCTTCGGCTTCTCTCTCAGCCGCTGTTGATCCCTCTTCGCCCCTGTCTCTCTCTCTCTGTCCCTTCTCTGTCCCCCCTTTCCTTTATTTCCATGTCTTGGCCTCTCTTGTTACTTTCTCTGCCTCCGTCCCTCTGTCTCTGCATCCTGCTCCCCTCTCTCCCTGTCTCTGCCTCCTGCCCGTGTTTCCGACTCTCTGTCTCTGTCTCTCTCTCTATTTATCTCTCTCTCTCGTTTCCAGGAACACCGAACAGTCTCTGTCTCTTGCAGACGGGCAGCGCACATCAGCATAGTTCAGACGCTGAGAATTTACAAACTTGTGGTATCTTTGCTCAGTCCAGCGTTTTCGCCTTAAGACTCCTCCTCCGAGGAAAAGAGCTGGGGATACTCCTCCTCCTAGGGTCAGCACGGCTGTCACTGGTGGGCTCCCCATGCCTGTTCCTCCGTCTATAAGCCAGGTCTGGGAAGCAGTCTGGGCATACTTTACCTGGAGACGAAGATCCCTGTGAAGAGGGAATGAAATAAAGCCCTGGCAGCCCTGGGCTATGATGTTCTTCCCAGAACATAAACAACAGGTCTCAGAACATAAACAGTCATCACACAAGGCCGCTCTGTGACCACGTCTGAGCTGAGATAGACACAAGGACACTCTGCAACCTCAAAAATGCATACCCTGTGCCCCCTACTAACAGAGATGACTGCTGCTTCTTCCCAATGACCATTCCACATCCCTCCTCCTAGATCTAAGAATCACCGAAATACCCAGTCATCAATCTGCCCCCTCACAGTGCCAGGCTAGAATTGCTTCTACTCTACTCAACTCTCCTTAAAACTATCCAGCACAAGTCTGAATTCTTTAAGAAGCCTTTCTGTCCTCCACCTCTCTCTTCTGGAGATACCCTGCTAAGGGGTCTTCCTTGCTGCACAAGCATAAAAAAAACAAACTTTTTTGACTACCGGTGTGCTTCTGATGGGGCTTCTCTGGGGGCTCAGTGGTAAAGAACCCACCTGCCAATGCAGGAGACATGGGTTCGATTCCTGGGTCATGAAGATCCCCTGGAAAACAGAATGGCAACCCACTCCAGTGGACAGAGGAGCCTGGAGGGCTACAGTTCATGGGGTCGCAAAAAGTCAGACATGACTGAGCGACTAAACAACGACAACAAAAACAAGTGCCTCTGATGGTCCTTGGCTGGTGAATTTTGACAGGCTTCCCTAGTGGCTCAGAGCCCAAAGCATCTGCCTGCTATGTGGGAGACCTGGGTTCAATCCCTGGGTTGGGAAGACCCCCCTGGAGAAGGAAATGGCAACCCACTCCAGTATTCTTGCCTGGAGAATCCCATGGACAGAGGAGCCTGGTGGGCTACAGTCCATGGGGTCGCAAAGAGTCAGACACAACTGAGCCACTTCACTTCACTTCACCCTTGCATGTAGGTCAGGCCTCCAGAAGACTTTGCTCTTCCTTCTGGAATCTTCTAGATCTGGGCTGAACTTTTGGCCTGAGACGGGCTTTCCATCCCTCTGTGGAGAACTCCACAGCAGATCTGAGAGACTTGAGACTGCAATTGGATTATGTTCCTGGATCCTTATCCTGCTGGATGATCCCATTACAGTAATACTTGTAAAGACAGCTGTTGTTTCTCTTTGCCTAGTCTTGCTCTCAGCACCTTGTTTTCCCTTTGTGTAGCCCCCACCACTACTCCAGACAGACCTGTGTCTAACACAGCCCCCAGTATCTTGTCACTGAAACTTATCAACCCAAGAACCTCACCCCCTGGCCACAAGAATGAGGTCTGGGATGAAGCCATGTAGCTGGAGGATCTCTTTCTTCCCCTGGGATCATGAACTGTTCACAGAACCTCATTCTACCTACACCCACCTTCCTCAGTTGTGTGGAAGAACAGCCTGCAGACTGAAGTCAATCTGTACCAGGATGCAGAGGTGAGAGTCAGAGAGACAGCCGGAGCTGTATTGGTTGCGCTCCTCAGTTCAGTTCAGTTCAGTCACTCAGTCGTGTCTGACTCTTTGTGACCCCATGGACTGCAGCATGCCAGGCTTCCCTGTCCATCACCAACTCCCGGAACTTGCTCAAACTCATGTCCATCGAGTTGGTGATGCCATCCAACCTTCTCATCCTCTGTCAACCCCTTCTCCTCTCACCTTCAATCTTTCCCAGCATCAGAGTCTTTTCCAATAAGTCAGTTCTTCGCATCAGGTGGCCAAAGTATTGGAGTTTCAGCTTCAGCATCAGTACTTCCAGTGAATATTCAGGACTGATTTCCTTTAGGATGGACTGGTTTGATCTCCTTGCAGTCCAAGGGACTCTCAAGAGTCTTCTCCAACACCACAGTTCAAAACCATCAATTTTTTGGTGCTCAGCTTTCTTTACAGTCCAACTCTCACATCCTTACGTGGCTACTGGAAAAACCATAGCTCTGACTAGACAGACCTCTGGTGGCAAAGTAATGTCTCTGCTTTTTAATATGCTGCCTAGGTTGGTCATGGATATAGCCAGGTTGAGCTCCTGGATGTAGCCATACCTGAAGCCCTCAGTCTTGGCAGTATCACAAGCCAACCAATTTCTTGGGTATTTGAGCTAGTTTAGTGGGTTTCTGTTCCTTGCAGTCATGAGAATCTTGACTAATTTATAAATTAGTTTCGGGAAAGGGAAGGGTATTGAAGGAAATAACTTAAAATGTGAAATTGGCTGAAAAAAGGTAAAATAGAGGGCCAGGGCCACCACAGACATATATATTCATTATGAATAGGACTTCAAGCTTT